AGAGTGTGTTTAACTCTCTAAATTTGGAGAGCCAAACTTATTCTTTAAATTTAAATATTAATTTAAAAATTCTTTTGGAATATAATTTTAAGCAATGAATTTCTATGATTATTTGAAAATGCTAAATTTTGGCAAATCATTTCAAGTATTCTTTAATTGAAAGAAGTTGAGATTTAACGAAATTTTATAAGTTTTAAAGAGATAATATATTATGATAAATTGTCAAATTTCTGTTAGTTTTATGCAGTAAATGTTTTCCATTTCAAGTCTTTAAATTTAGGATTTTGTTGGCAACCCTAGAAAGGGCGATCATTAATTGACGGAGACTAGACTTCCTTAGGTTTTCTACATTCTTGTCAATAATTTAAAAAAAAAAAGTTTATAATAAATAAAAAAATTAAAAACAAACGATGAAATGAAAGGGGGAAGAAATAATATTACTCACGATCACAATCCTCAACTATATAATCGTAAAGCGCACCTCTTTTTCTTTTAATATCAGTATTTTTAGGACCTGTTTGAGCCTTATTTTTTGGAATAACGTTATTCATCCCCACTGAAGTTGAATCTCAGTTTATGTGATAATTAAATGACATTAAATGATAGACTCAATTAAATGAGTTATGTGACTTTGTATTTACCATAGGGGTTGAGTCCCAATCTATGTGACAATTATATGATATTATATGAATGACTCTATTAATTGAGTTATGTTTCTTTGTATTTAAATGAATCTATCATTTAATGTCATGTAATTGCCACATAGATTGAGGCTCAACCCCAGTAGGAATGAATAACATTACTCTATTTTTGTGTATAATGTATTTTAGAATGAGTAATGCTATTCATCCCCATTGGGGATGAAAACACAGTTTACGTGGCGTGAATGTTGTGGCATTAAATGATAGGTGAAATTAAATAAGTCATTTAATTTTACCTTTTATTTAACCAATTATTTAAAGTCACGTAGACTTTGTTTTCATCCCCACTGTGGATGAATAACATTACTCTTTTAGAATAGTAGATTGATAGAGAATGTGTGATTAGAAAATAAAGAAAAGTTTCGTGTTTGCGTGTAATATTATTTTATTGAAGAATGTGTGGTTGAAAAGAAGAGAGAGAAAAATCTATTTTGAAAAAAATTGGGATCAAACAAGGATTAATAAACTTTAATTTGTGTGACAACTAATTTAAGATTGATATTAATAAGACTTTTAAACTGGGCATGTGTTGAAGACAACAAGGGATGGATTACAGCGCACGGTACGGTCAGTTGTCCATGTTCCTCACATGCCCCCAATAATTATATATTTTACTGTTAAATATTCGAATAAGAGCCACTTATATAAAATTTATTTTGCATGAGCTTATAAAAATTTCTTCCGTTTTATTCAAGGGAAAAGTACTCCATTGGTCTTGAACTTGTGTCTGAGGGTAATTTCGTCCTGAGATTTTGAAAATGATCAACTTCGTCATCAATCTTTTATTATAGTTGTGCAATGAGTTCCCGACGACGAAAGTCATCTGAACATATGTTAAATCGTTACGTAGTACTCTCGGGGCTGAACCACGATTAATCAGTCGGAGGGCTTGCATATTTATTTATTTATTAAATAGGATGTATATCGATGTCAAGTAGAATTGTATTTAAATTGATGTTAGAGTTGACAGGAACGAAATATAATTATTAAATCCAATTTAATAATTGACTAGATACTTTTAGTCCACTGTTTAAGGGCTTTTTATTTAGATATATATGAATTGTAGCTTGTCAGGACTTCTTCAAAACGATACTAAAAACGTACCCTGAAGCGAACCTGGAAATAAGCCAAAAGTGGTGATGATCACTAATTAAATTTATTAATTAAACTCATTTCATGTAACCATTCTTATCTCGCTATTGCAATTTTATCGTTTAACTGTTTTACAAATTGAAACGTATGTTACGAAATATTCCCTCAATACTTCAAATAACATCAATAATCTTTCGTGACATTCAAGAATAGAGATCCTAAATTGACCCGCAAACTAACTCGTTGAAATGGGCAAATTGTAGATTTTCTCCTTTTCTTCTATGGAGGGTGGGAGCAGGGTAAGCGCCTTTGATTCGCATGTAGCCACCCTCGTATGTTTAACTTTATGAATATTTTTGCATCTAAACTTGAGATGGTGTCCGTAAATTTGAAGTCATATATATTTTTATGAGGATTACAAGACAATTTAACACAAATTTTGATAGTTTTCAACCATGAAACTTTACCAACTTGCTCGTTTTTAAAAGTAGAAGGCTAACTTGCTACTCGAAGAAAGTGTTCAACTATTCTCAAACTTATATTCGGAGTAGTAAGTTGATCTCGAACTTTTAAATAGAAGCAAGTTGATAGGGTCAAAATCTCATCAATCAATTAAAGGAAAAAAAAAAAAAATCTTACTTTCCATTTGATACCTTATTAATATGTAAAAAAATATGTAAATGGTGATGTACAATAAGTATTTTCCTTCTAAGATTGAAGACGTATTTGCCATTCAAAGTGTTTTAAAATTCCAAATCACAGCCCTGATCCATGGTGTCTTTCAGATCGATAAGAGTCTAAAGCCCAAAATCTATATTAAACCCAACCCAAATTGATAGGTAACCTTGGGCTGGATTCAGATGGACTAGGCGTATAAAATAGGCCAATCTTGACTACTGCGGTCCAGGGCTTGCGCTCTGGGCCTGATGGCAGTACACAGAACCCACATTACTACTTTGTCATCGATCAATTCTAAGAAATCGACACAAATTTGGTGAGTTAAAGAATATAGCACTTACTTTTATCTTTTTGTGAACTTTCAATTTTGACCATTTTTGACAGTTAGAAAATATCACAAGAACAAGAAGTGCTAAAATTAGGGAATATCCACAAAGGCTATCCTTTTAGTGTTATTTTCCCAAATTCACCGAAAAAGAATATTAAGGATATCCACAAAAGAATAGTTTTTTATAACATGTTTTCAAGTTAAATTAGAGAAAATGTGAAAGGTCAAAACTTGTCACGCTTGAACTTATGTACTCTGAGCTTCCATCCTATCGTCTAGAAAAAATAGCATGACCTCGTGGACTTCCCATCTCGAGAGCTCCCTTATTGATATTATCACCTCGACCTCAGGCATACACCCTAGCATTTGATGTGGCGCCTCGATATAGATCATGTTTTGTTGTTGACATTATAATCCTAAGTTAGCAACAATTCTTTCTCTTGATAAGTCTTTCATAGGATTTTTAAAACTTGACCTTTGTACGTGTCTTATAATTTGTCAACAGGTCAACTCGAGATATAACCACGAGCACGATCTAAAATACATGGTAGAAGTCTAACCTCAATAATAACATAAACATACTCGAACTTTACTTTCAAAGTCGACTGCTTGTATCTCAATTAAACCATATAATTATAGCAAGACTTTTATGTTCACGTGGACTCCTAATCCATCCGTTCATCGACGGTACACGTGTTAATTATTCTCCCTGCAACCTCATGCTTCTATTGTCTCTACATGCCCTTAACTTTCTGGTTTATAACACAATAAATCGACTAGACAGCTATAGGTATAACATTCTTCTCACTATATATAAAAATATTTTTATATTTTCTTATGTAGATTTAACCTTGGAATAAATTCAAAAGATTTGGGTTGACGGTTTACAGATCCCAATTCGAGAAGCCTAGACAAGAATAAATCCCCAGGTACAAAAATAATTCACAGATTTTTGCACAGATTGTCTTCCTGTGCAAAAACAATTGAATTTTTGCTGTACTTATAATATCTCTCGTCCAGGCAAAGACCATGTCTGCAATATGCGATGAAAACAGAAAATGACACGTTTGTCTTAATGTACGTATTCAATATAATTACTTCATTACGGGTTAATTATCCATAAATTACGGGTTAAGTTTCCATTGTATTAAATTGAATAATTCGTCAGAAAGCAAAACTATTGCGTGAAGAGGCATGATAGACATTGGACAATGAAACATGGGAAAAGTGCTTTCAACCTACTTTACCATTTGTCCACCTTACACCACAACCAAAAGGTCAATAAATATTATTTATTATAAATCTTCGATCAAATTAATGTAAATAATGCCAAATATCATTCTTTTAATCTTAGGAATTATGGTTTAAAGTGGGATTTCAACAGTTGAAGCCTTCACTGGGAAAAGAGCAGTGCCTCCATGGGAGTCCTCAAGGTGGCAAGGTATTTTTTTTTTCCAACCTATTTTTTTTTCAAGAATATGATGAATCTTGATATCCCAGATGAAAAAATTGATTCTTGATGATATTTTTCTGCTCTTTCACTGGTTAAATTTATTATTCTAATTATATTTGACACTCGGTTAGTAATTGAGGATTTTAAATTATCTTGTTTCCTGTGTTTGCACGTTTTTTTCTTTCCTTTTTTTTTTTTTTTACGTGTGCAGGTTGATTTATGGGTTTTTAGCCACTGTTTGATATCCTTTATTTTCCAAAAACAAAGTTTTGAATTGTGAATTTTGGAGAATGTGTGGTTAAAAAGGGGGGAGAGGTTTTGGGTTTACATGCTGAATATTTCATGTTTGAAAAGTTTTAATACATTACTAACTACTGGAAGGTGACGAGATATTTTGGGTTTTTGTGGGTTGATGGAGGTGGTTGATTATAGTTGAATATATTATTAAGAAAAACCAGCTTGACAGTATATAAAGAACCTTCAAGTCAATGAAGGTAGATTATGGGCTTCCACTATACTACGTAAAGATTTTTTTCCCTTTCGAAGATTGCTGAAATATATATCTGTCATTGATTATCAGAAGTTGAAGACAATCCCATCTAATGAAGCAGTGCACATAAGAACTAGCATTGGCATGTAGAATCCAGGTCGACTAGGGAAAATTGGTTGTTTTGGCTCAAAGAATAGTGTAGAGATTCCGATAAGGAATAGGCTGCTTTTTCAGATGTATTCCATTACGGAAAAGAGTATGCTACCTTCGAAGTTTCTTTCTTGGCTTATAGGGGTTTCAATGATTCTTTTGATCCTCTCGTCATTGTCCCTTCATCAGTTCAGCAACAATTATGACAATTCTTCCATAGCCAGATCAGTTTTTAATTTTATTTTGGTTAATAGTTCATCAATTCACTTGAAACAAAATGGCAGAGGTGATCAATTGAAAAGTCCTCCGATCCCTAGTGAAATGCCAAAGAAGGAAGATACTGACATTCACGAGGCGGGTTTTCAAGTTTCTGGTCACACAATGAATATGGATGAAAGGGGACAACACCGTGGGTCAGTATGTGACCAAAGTCGGGCACTTCTTAGGGTATATATGTATGACTTGCCCTCTGAATTTCACTTTGGGTTGTTAGGTTGGAAGGGCTGTGCAAATCAGACATGGCCTAGTGTAAGTATTCCTAATAGGTTTCCACCATATCCTGGTGGTTTAAATTTACAGCACAGCACAGAGTATTGGCTTACTCTTGATCTTCTTGCATCGAATACTGCAAATGTAGATCGACCATGCGGTGCAATCAGAGTGCAGAATTCGAGTGAAGCTGATGTAATATTTGTACCCTTTTTCTCGTCCTTGAGTTACAACCGGCACTCAAAGGTCCAAGGACATGAAAAAGTTAGCGTCGACAGAATGCTGCAGGATAAATTGGTGCAGTTTCTGAAAGGCCGGGTAGAGTGGAAGCGACTTGGTGGGCGGGATCACTTGATTGTAGCCCACCATCCAAATAGCATGTTATTTGCAAGAAATAAGTTGGGTTGGGCAATGTTCGTGCTTTCTGATTTTGGAAGATACTCCAGAAAACTAGCAAACCTTGAAAAAGATGTAATTGCACCTTACAAGCATATGGTGAGATCGATCCCGATTGCTAACTCGCCTTCATTCAATGAACGGTCTATATTGATGTATTTCCGAGGAGCAATTTACAGGAAAGATGTAAGTTGTATATACTTTTGCAACTTTTTTATGAATTATTTGTTAGTTTTGATAGACCAAGTTACATTTGAAAGTTAACTTTTGAGGGTTTTACATCCATGTATTTAATTTATTGGTATTTGAGTCACTCGCTGAAGAATACTCTGAAGTGCAACTGCATACATCTTCTATTATCATGTCATTCTCGTCTATAGTCTAAACTAAATTTTATACTGTGACAGATTCCCAAAAGAAATAGCCATAGTCTAAAAATCAGCTCTAAGTGTCAATGCCTTTTGTTTGCCTGTAAGCCTTTGATTTTTTTTCCTATTCTATTTCATAAATTTTATGAGGACTTATGGAATAGATTCTTTAGTTGGGCTTTGATCCTCGGTCGCAATTGCCACAACTGCAAACGGGATAAAATTTTAATATTGAAGGGCTCAGCATTTTGACTACAAAGATCACAACCTTACATATATAATATGGGGTCTTGTGAAACTCAGAATTGGAGCACTATAATCTGCATTAGATCTGGCATGAAATGAATGAAACTGCACTTGTAGTGATGTCTATTTCATGATACACTTTCCTGTTCCTTTAATAGGCCAGTACTAGCATAGTTGAAAAGAAAGCATTACAGTTAAAAAAATACTGAAGATGATGAAAGTGAAAAAGAGAGATAGGAAAACTAGGGATTAAGAAGAAGATGCAAGAATACCAGTGTTGATTTGCTTGATTATATATAAATGGATATGAATATGATTTTGGGTTTGGGTTTGTATTCAGGGTGGAGCTATCCGTCAAGTACTATACTACCTACTTAAAGACGAGAAAGACATTTACTTTGCCTTTGGAAGCGTTCAGGCTAATGGGATAAAACAGGCAGGGAAAGGGATGGCCTCTTCTAAATTTTGCCTGAATATTGCTGGAGACACCCCTTCTTCAAATCGTCTCTTTGATGCCATTGCTAGTCACTGTGTTCCTGTAATAATCAGTGATGAAATCGAGCTACCCTTCGAAGATGTTCTCGACTACTCAGAATTCTGTGTATTTGTCCGTGCATCGGACGCTGTGAAAAAGGGTTATCTTCTGAATCTTCTCAGAGGGATTAAGCAAGAGAACTGGACAAAAATGTGGGAAAGATTAAAGAATATCAGTAGACACTTTGAGTATCAGTATCCATCTCAGCCCGGTGATGCTGTGGATATGATTTGGCAGACTGTTTCCCGCAAGAAATTGGCCACACAATTAAGTGTTCACCGGAAGAACAGATACAGCAGATCACAGTCTTCCTAAGCCCCTCCGTTTAGGCTGTAAGTACTTTAGAACATACAAGTTGTTTTTTAAGATTTATATCTTCTTTTTAATCCAGTTCTCAAACATTTTGGATACTTTCTTTTTGAGGATAGTTCCATGTTGGGTTCTTTCTTCATATTTTTCTAGTTGAAATCTTGCTGAACAGTAGAAAAGGAATAGAATGAATTTCAAATGCAGAAGAGAAGATTATTACTTTTGTACTTCGAAATAAAATTCTAATTTGCAAAATGCTGCGAGATGAGGAGCAAAATAAATCAATGAAAAACAACGTCGGGATAAACCAGATTCATTGTAACAAAAACAGATGCAGGTCTGTGTGCATATCCTTGTGGTTCTGTGGGTGTGCTTACATGATTAAACGTAAAAAGAATTTAGATGAAAAGAAGATTGAAGCTAAAAGAAACAAAATCTACAGCACTATGAATCCCTACGTATTCGAGCTATGGTTGGAATCTATATTATACGATAAAGGTATAGCTTGCACTTCTCAGCTGTATCTACCAGCTTCTGTATGAAACACAAAACTTTGATTCAAACAATGAAACAACAAAATCAAAACAAACCTATATTGGAAAGTTTCTTAGCATTTTATCCTCTGCTTGGATATTTTAGCATCTGTTGTGAATAGGGTCTGATCCTCCGCCGACACTTCTTTTTTCTGATTGATTTGGATCGTAGGCCATTCCAGGTGAAGGCGCAATATCCAGAGGGACGCTCAAGTCCTGCAATGCTACAGCCTTCAGAACCCGAGAACTTCTGAGAACTAACATTTCTTCTTGTCCCCATCGCAGAGCAAGATCTATGCTTCTACGGCCCGTAACCTTCTCTGGTTGAATTGAGAAAAACCCAATACAGAAGATTACTAGGATAATCACCCTACTGGAAGAGAAACTCATTTTGCACTACAGGAACAGAGAATTTCTTCTGTAAGAGAATAAATGCTGTCTGAAAATGAAACTCTCTATTCCTCTGTATATAAACCTGGGGAATTTTGTCTTTTGCGGGATTTGTGGGGCCATAGGCATATAGAAGGAAGGGACCCAAATCATAGATTCAGCTCAATCATAAGCCTGCCACAGAAGAAATGTAAGGCTGTTTTAGAAGTTTTAACAGGTTTGAATAAAAGTTGAGATTGGAACAGCATTCTTGAGAAGCCAAGAATCTTTATGTTAGTTCCCCACATACCTAATGTTTGACTTGCTCTTTTAGACCAAACATTCACAAATCCCAATACTCTTCAACCCAACATCAACTCTCCACGTCATCTGATTATGTTCCTCTGTACTTTGTACAGGTGTCTTGTTGCATTGGGTGATTCACAATCATAAAATTATTCATTTTATAAATGTTTAGTCGATTACATGATTTTTTTTTTTTTTTTGCAAGTCTGTTCAGTTCATTATTATATTTATGGAAAATTCAAAGCAATTGAATTGAGATTGCATCAACCTTCTATCCACGATCTTCTTTAGGTCCATATAAAACTAAGGGCATGTTTAGGTTAGTTTTTGGCTTTTTCTACTTCTGAGTAGAAAAAGCTCCATCTTGAGTCAGCTTTTTCTACTTCTAAATAGATAAATTACTTTCATAAATTATTTAAACAGATCCAAAAACAGTTTATGCAGCTTTTGACTTTTCAAATGTCATGTCAAAATAGCTCGAAGTTATGATTTTCTTAATTTTCACTTATTTAAATAGATTCAAAAACAGTTTATGCAGCTTTTGGCTTTTCAAAAGTCATGTCAAAATGACTCGAAGTTATGATTTTCTTAATTTATCACCAATCGATTTAATGAAGACAAAATAATAACTTGATTTAATTTCGGGTTTGTTCGTTTTTGACGAATTGCTAGTCTAATTTGAGTGGAAATGGGCCAATGATCACAACTCCGGTCCTTTGCCCCTGAAGTACGTCAAATTTTGGACAACTTCCATCGTTTAGGCCCTCAAAGCAAGTCTGTTCAGTTCATTATTATTTTTATGGAAAATTCAAAGCAATTGAATTGAGATTGCATCAGCCTTCTATCCACGATCTTCTTTAGGTCCATATAAAACTAAGGGCATGTTTGGGTTAGTTTTTGGATTTTTCTACTTCCAAGTAGAAAAAGCTCCACCTTGAGTCAGCTTTTTCTACTTCTAAATAGATAGATTACTTTCATAAATTATTTAAATAGATCCAAAAACAGTTTATGCAGTTTTTGACTTTTCAAATGTCATGTCAAAATGGCTCGAAGTTATGATTTTCTTAATTTATCACTTATTTAAATAGATTCAAAAACAGTTTATGCAGCTTTTGGCTTTTCAAAAGTCATGTCAAAATGGCTCGAAGTTATGATTTTCTTAATTTATCACCAATCGATTTTACCTCTAGTTATTAGTATATTCTCACAAGCCAAAGTTATAGGCTTGCTACAGTTGCAAGAAAGCCAGATAAAGTTAGATGTTGGGACAAGTTGAGTAAGTGAAACAGCCCTCAAAAATACCAAGAATTTGCTTTATGCAAACTCGTCACTTTAGAATTCCAAGCTCTCTTATCCATGCACCAAAAATGAGTGTCGTGGTTTCTTGTGCTAAATAACTTTCCTTTATGCTTTTCTTTAGATTGTCAAGCACTAAGCCTTCCATTCAAACTTCTCATTTTTCACTTCTCTTCCCTTTAATTTTCCTCGCTTATCCATGAAGACCATCTTTTTCTTTTCTTTATTTCCTTTACCTCATTCTTATTTTTAATTTCAAATTTATACAATTTTAGTATTTCCTTATTGTCCAAGCTCAGTCATAGTAACATTAGTTTTAAGTTTAAAAAAAACTAATGTAACTTTTTATGTCCTATCATGTTTGAACATGTTACTTTTTTTCCTTACTTTAAATAAATAAATAAAAAGTATCTAGTTTTGAAAATAACTCTCATCTTATTGTCAAAATATGTAATAAGTAATATTCAGTAAACCTTTATAGGATTAGCCAAACATGCAATATTCTTGTCGGGGTGAGAGAACAAGACAATGATGGATTCAGTGGGGTGGGTGAATCCCGTGGCCGTCGTGAACAAAAACAATGGTACCGTACCGAAGATATACCAAAGTATTTTAACACGGTTAAATCAAATCTCAAATAACAACCATGTCATCAACGAAAATTTGATCATGTAAAGAACAATATCCCTACTACAGAGGAGTATACAGTATTGATCAATGGATGACACAGTTGAGAATGAAATTACAGGATAAACCAGGAATTTAACACGTCCAGAAGTCGCACGAGATGGAGGAAAGCAAGTCAAGCGACGTTATTAAACAGACTCTGGAAAAGGGGTCCTAGACAGTTCTGAAGTCGATCCAGGTGCCGATATTGGCACTATTCTAACTTGCAGGCCAGCAGCTTCCTGGTTTTTCTCACAAACAGCAATACATAATGAGCAAAAGATTATACATGCAGTAACTGTGTGTTTTATATGTAGTATTAGACACTGCAACTGACAAGAATATATATTTATGCGAGATAAATTATAGCGGTGGCAGCTCGGCTCCACTACCATACTAACAAACACAGTTGAATCTTGTTAGTATTATTGATTTAAAAGATTTTCCAAACATTAAAAAGAATACTCGGCATCACTGTAATTACTATAACGACGTATTTCACTACCCGTCTTGTTTCCAATTTATACAAGGCATTAAATGTCATGACTATATTTTCACATCCCTGAATAGAGGTTCCTCTTGTTGGTTTCAATAAGTATAAGAACCATTAAACCATAAATTAAGTTGTCATACAGTTCTATATTCCTGAAGAAACTCGTATCCTAGCTCATTTTTCAGTTACAGCACAAGATAATGGTTACGTAGGCCAAATTAACCCTCCACCCCGTATGCCCAACAAATAAAAGAAAAGCCTCCAAGTGAACAAATATCAAAGACCGTTACCTTTTGGAATCATTAATACATAGGTGTTGGTTAACAACGTAAAATTTTAGGCTAAACTTTTTAACGGCATCATATGGAGTACTAATAGCATAGATGTCAACAGAAAGCATATGGTTGAGAAAATAACGAACCATATCCCATAAAAGCCTCTCACCTGTCTTTGCCTCCGATGCTGCAATATACTCATAGCCCAAGCAACAATGTAGCAGGGAAGAAGGAACCCCATAACCCGGAGCAAGATAAGCTATTTAAGAATCAACAACATGATCAAGTGAGTAATTACACTAATACAAGTTGGGTGTATACATGCATATCAGGCAACTAAAACAACTAAGACCACTCACAGAGAAGGTGAAAATATCATCGTCGTCCGTATCACTATCACCGTTTCTAATTGTTAAAGCGTGCCTCAAGAGCAGAAGAGCCATTAGCTGGCACAGAAAACGGGTCAAAATTATCAACAAAATAAATGTACCAAGCTTTAAAGGAAAGGAGAGACAAAGAACAAAGAGGCGGCACAACAGAGGGTACAAAATCAATCAAACTGATTTTTCAATCAAATACTATTTGAAACCTTTGGGTTTTTAGTGCTCAAACTAAAAGATAACATCTTCTTAAGTATGAATAAAATCTTATTCCACTCTCCTTTCCAATGCGTCCCAAGGAAAATATTGAATTGGAGTCCATGTTAACGGGTGAGTTTAAGCACCATCTGGTTATGCGCTCTTCAAAAATAAGATGGATTTTTCTGGATTTGGAAGATCAAATTTGCAATTTCACCTATTCAAACAGAAAAGAAAATTTATCTGTTCTCATGAAATTATTATATTAGAGTTGATAACTCTACTCTTTAAAGCTTATGCTGTAGAAGCTTACACCAGGCTACTAATTGGCTTTCTATCCACATCTTCCTGTTACAAACAAAGACCAGGCTTTATTGGCTACTGTTAGTTGGAGAAAGTACCCTAGATAAAACCGGGTGAGTTGTATTCAAGGGTTTAGTCAAATGAGCATTTGGAACATCGTGAGGACTACAGCATGGAATGCTCTATCAGTTTAATTTTGGAAAAACCAAAAGGAAAATGCATAAAAAGTACGAATAAATACATAAGCAGTGCCTGCAGTACATTTTTTTCCTGGAAAAGTAAATGGCTAAATTCTAATTTAAGAATTATAATGTAGTTAAAAATTTAATCCCAAAATATCCATGAAAGAATAAATATAAAAAAAGAAAAAAAACAGAAGGAGCAACTGATAAGGCGATAATTAAACTAGTAGGGAAGGTGTTCGTTACAATTAAAGTAGCAAATCGACAAAATGCAGCTCCACTAGCACTTGAATCAGCATACTCATCATAACAGCCTCTAGAAGATGGCGTTCTGAGCCAGCGACGGCCAAAAGTCGAGGGTCATGCAAATCCACCGGAGTACCAGCAATTGTCCAGCCCTCACTGTAAAGATAAAGCCTCAGAGCCAATTAATTGAAATGTTTGAACCTGTACATGTTAGTACAAACAATATGATGCTAGAACTGGAATAATATACTTTCCTAAGTAAATTCCTAGTTGTATCCAGACGCTTGAATGGATAACTTTTGATGATTAGCACTGCCATGTTTTTATTTCCAGATATAAGATACCCATTGCTGACACACACACACACACACACACAAACCTGGTATTGCATTTTCTTCTAGTGATTTTGACCTAAAAGGAGGAGGAAGGTGGAGGAAAGGAGGAATTTTTTTAAGCCCATTTGAAAGATTATAATTTATATTTTTCAGCACAAGTACAAAGTGTCGGATGCTTAAAACGATTAGGAAGTCATAAGCCTTGTGCAAAATCAACCACCTTGTACTACGACATTCCACCTCTTATCAATCATGTCCAAAATGGAAAAGTGAAAGTCATAAGCTTCAAGTGACTGACCAAATTCTAGCCAATATTAACTTCTAATATAATTACACAGATACATGCAACAAACCTTATTCCTGATAAACATGGGGCAAGATTACATAAATAAAATGGAGAAAAGTTATAGTTTCAGAAAAGGACATCTCAGTTCTACTACTCCACATTACAGTTTCTATATACAAAATATTGCCAGCTGCCAAGATCATCATTTGGTCTAAGGCAATTAGAAAAGTTGAAGTCACATCTATAGGATTTTTATCAAACAGCTAAAAACTAATGGCCTCACTATGAAAGATTAAGGAAAAAAACAAATATGACCAAGAATTCAAAACATGCCTGATTTCAATGGCAGAATCATCAGGTTGCAGATGAGGTGAAGCAGTGTAGCCATGTTGGTAAGGCTGCAAAAGTGGGAAAATCATTAGCAGAAATCAGCATATCATTAAGATTACAAAACTCATAAGAGTTAAAATAAACACATTTTTTACACGACAAGGAATAAATTTGATAACGGAGGCAGTGATAGCATACCTGATGACATATCTCGCATATTATATCTCCTTTCTCATTGCACCAGCGTTGAACACAATTCCTATGAGCATACTTGATTTTAAATGCAACAAGAAGAGAATAAAATTGAAAAATAAGTTTTTTGATAGAAACCTAAAAGTGCAAACAATGACTATGGGTTACGGGTGGAAAGACAAGAGTAGAAAATTCTATCTAGATAGAGAAAGTATATTAGAATACAATAGCCAACATCATCACCGTGAATTGGACCTGGGAAAAAAACTACTGTCTAATATTGTATGCATAGATGCTTTGTCATTAATGCCAGACAACAAGACTTTACTTATCAAAAGTAAAACATTTTCATAGGAAAGGACGTACATTTAGCCTGCCCTTGTTATCATTTTCTTTTTAAAATGTGAGGTTAAAAAGTAGGGAAAAGTTAGGGGGGAAGTGTGAAAAATTAAACTTTTTTAAAGAATGTGTGATTGAAAATGAGTGTGGGGAAAAAATGGTTTTGAAAAAATCAATTTCAACCAACGGCTTAATAAAAGAGTGAAATTAGTGCCCCAGCAAAGGATGCAGAACGATACCTTCAAGCTGCCACTACAAACACAAGGTGTTTCCAAGTTTTTAACACTATCTTCCTCCTGACAAATGCGGCATTCCACTGACTCGATTAAAGGGTCTACTTCATCAGCTACTCCTTTTTCTTTATTTTCCTTAATAGAAATCACTGAAGTAGTTGGATCGACAGTACAAGAACTATAACTCTCGTCGGGAAACTCAACAACCTCTTGCCCTTGCAGTAATGGCAATGATTCAGGTGTAACAAGGTGATCAACACATAGAACCAAGTGCTCACTCATTGCTTATCCAGGAATCTATATACCTAAGTAAACCACAAAATCACTTCATTTTAATTCAAATTATCAGCAAGGAAGGATTAAAAACATCCACTAAAAACACATGAATTTTTCTTTCATGAAAGAAAAAAAATCAATCCATTTATAAGTTGACGTTAAATAAGTTTCTTCTGCTGGAATCACATGAAGTGAATATTATAGAAATATGTGAAATTCAAAGACAAAATAATAGAATTCTTCCACACTTGGGAATATAAATTTTGGGTCTCTTATTTCATACTTCCATATTTTGAATAAAAGTATGACATAGAACCCCAAAAGCAAATATAGGATAAGAAAATGAAAATAGAGAATTTATTAGATGCTTTATCTTCCATTTCAGTTTCTTCAGCTACCAAACAGAATCTAAACAACATAAAGATCATAAATTTCCACCCAAAGAACAATATGTAATCTGAAACTCATCAATAATTTCAACCTACGGATTCGGAATGATTAAAAAGGGCAAACATTCACCAATAAATTTCTATAAATAGCAACCCAAGAATTTAAAAAAGTAAAAACAAAATTAATAATAACAACAATAATAATCAAAACCCAGAACAATTTAGCAATTACTTAATAAAAAATCAAAAGAAGACATATGAAATCACGAAAGTACATTTACCTGAAAGAAAAATGCTCTTTGGATTATGGTCTTGTATAGGATTATTAGAGAGAGAACTGAGAGAAGTAAATTGTTTTGCTTTTGCAAAGAAATTGCTGACCGAAAAATTGAAGAGAAGGGGTCTGAATTTAATTAACATTTATTTTTTAGTGGTAGTTGTTGTATCTATAGGTATGTATATTTAGGACGTTAGCCACGTTATTTTGAAAAAATGTATTTTAGAATAGTAGAATGATAAAAAATATATAGTTGAAAAAGAAGGAAAAGTTATTGATGTGATGAAAAAAATTATTTTATTGAAAAATGTGATTGAAAATAAGTAGAAAAATGAAAATGAAAATTTGGCTCAAACATGAACTTATTCTATATTTCTAAAGCATTTTTAACACTTAAAAATCCTAGGAGTATTCGATTAATGTTATAAACTACAGGGGAAAAAAAAACTAGAAAAGTTAATACATTTGTATTTTGTTTTATTGACAATCAAAATTCTATATTGGTTATTCACAAATATTACTTTATAGATAATTATATTACACCATAATTTTATTTTTTGTACCATATTTTAACTGCACTTAAAGTTCTTAATCTTTATTAATTATAGCACTTATGCCCTTAACGTTTTTCATGGAATTATTATCCTCTATTTTTTCATTAATTAACACATCTTGCATCTGATAACAATTTCTATTCAAAAGATTCATTGAAAGAGCGTAAAACAACTTACTTCCTATCATATTTTTTTAAAAATAAATTTATAGTATATTAAATATCACATCAAGTAAAAATCATTTTTTGAACGATTTTAATCTTATTACAATTCAATTATTTCAATAATATTTAATTTTTCATTTTCAATGTGTAATAAATATTACAAAAACCTTGTCATGTATGAATTTCGTGTTATTAATTATCAATTAATTAACATTCACATTAATATAAACTCAATTAATCTTGATCTACACGAATCTAGACTTATTATATATGAATTTATTTCTATTCACATATCTAGAAATTTTAATGGGTGTTTAACTTAATGTATTAGTAATTAATTCTATTTACTAAATGTAATGTAAAAAGTGTTGCTTATTTGTAGTGTTTCGTCAAAAAAAAAAAAATTGAATCATAGAAGTTAAATTTTGGGAGTACAATTTTTTTCTCTTAAATTTTTATCCTAAATTTTACTTTTTTTAGTTCGTTTGAGACTCATTAAATACTCTAAATAAATTGATATCAAATATTACTTTTATAGCATAAATTTGAATCATAGAAATTAAGTTTTGGAAGTACAATTTTCTTCTCTTAAATTTTTATCCAAAATTTTTTTTAATTCGTTTGAGACTCATCAAATACTCTCAACAAATTGGTATCAAATATTAATTTTATAGCATTTATAGAGTATTTCAAAATAACATGCAATACAAGTTTAATTTTGACTAATAAATATAAAAGTGTGATCAAATTTTTTTTCCTTATTTCAAAGCATGAAAATAAAATATTTTAATAGAAATCATCATCAATGATGAAACATGTTAGTTAATGAGAGATTGAAGATAAGAATACGAGGAAAAAAAAAGTTAAGTATATAAACGATAAGACGAACAAAAATTGAGGAACTTAAGTACAATAAAACTATGGTGCAACAAATAAAAAATGAATAGCCAATATAAGCACCCTTACTTTGTTTACAACACTCACTTGGAATGACTATTTACACCATAAATGTCTCGTTGAAAACTATGTTTGACAAAAATTCAATGGGATAAAAATACCAAATGTAGAAAAAAGAGTTACCAAGAAAACCCAATGGAATTAAATTGAGCAAAGAAAAAGAGTACAATTACTCCCCTTAATTTCAATAAATGAAAATTCATTTATCGAGCCATTCATATCTTACATGACACTATCACAAATTTATGGTAAATTATATCTCACGTTGTCTTATATAATTTTCAAATAATATCGTCTCATAGAAAATATTTATTAACATTTGATGATGGTGGCAATATGATAATTCAAAAAATAACTCTTGTTCTCTTCAAGAGTCTCGTATCAATAAGAAAATTATTTTGAGGATAAATGTCTTGTACGTTATGGACATTTATTATACGAAGAATGTCTCGTTAGAATCATATTAGGAAAAATTCGTGGAAAAAATCCTAATGAAAAAAAAGAGTACATTATTCCTTTGAATAAGCCTCAAAAGTTGTCTTAAATCCTAATGAAAAAAAAGAGTACATTATTCCTTTGAATAAGCCTCAAAAGTTGTCTTATTAAAAACCTTAGTCAAGGAAAAATAATACAATGTGCATTAACTCCTCATATGATAATATTATTTAAATTGTATGCTTCAAGCACATTAAATCTTTCAGGGATAACATTAGTGGTCATGTCGATGAGGTCGCATTTCAAATTTCATGCATCATCAATATAACGAGATATGGACTTGTGATTGCATCCACCATAATCTTTGCAAAATTTATTGTTTTGTGAGTCGTGGATTACATGTTATGACTTTATATTTGTCATCTACGTTTTACGTAAGTATGTACCTTTAGGTGTTCGAACAACTAGTCTAAAAATTTTAGACTTTTTTAGTAAGTTCAGTTTTGTTAGGATTGCATCTTTTTATTTGACCAATCATTTTTCGATTAATATATTTCGATGAATTTAGTTCGATTCCTCGCTATTTATAATATGATGTGGTACTTATTTCGATAAATTTATTTTAATTTCTCGTTATTTATAATATGATACAGTACACCATGTATAAAATTATTATCAACAAATTTTTTTTTCGATTCTATTTCTTTTACATAATGACATAACTTTTTCACTTTTAATATTTCAAGTAATTGAACCCTTTCTGGGGTTTTTATAATTATATATGTCTATATATATCCTCAAACAGTATATGTCTCTTAATTGGGACAATGTTTCTTATTTGCTCCATTTTATTTTGGAGATTTTTTCTTTGAATTGAATGTAATCACGTTTCAAACGTGTAATTGACTTATCAAATATAATGTTAATAATTTATCATTGTAAGACATTAATACGAAACGGAACGTCTATAACTGGTATATGAGATTTTATAAATCTTTTATAGGTTGGTAAGTGCATCATATAATTGAATTGTCTATTCATATTGTCAAGTACGAGAATATTGATAGCACAATATATGCATTATGTGTTATTTTCAATTACTAATTTCTCCTCCTAATGCTGAAAAACGGTTCAATCCAATTGACATCCAGCGAACCACTTATAAAATATCACCCTTACGGCTTAAAAGAATTTTTATTCTTTTAACATAATGCAATATTAACTCTTCTGGAGTATTAAAATAATATTCTTATGGAATATAGATATAAATAAATTTGCTTCTTTAGGAACAAATTAGTTAAAATTGCAAATATTCAGGATTATTAAAATATTTATATTGAAATGTATACATTTGTGATTCTTCAATAATAACCACAGAATAACTTCTAAGAATGTCGTTGTATAATATTTATGTTCTTTCAAGATTATATGGTCTTTGTACGAGGGAGAGATATGTAGGATAATTTCTTTTTAATAAGTCTATGTTTGGCCTCGTTTTTTACGAAAATAAAGGTGCGTTAGAAAATGAGTTTGAAAAAAAAAATGAAGGTGCGATTGATTTGTTGTTTTCAGTTTTTCAAACGGGTATGTATCAAAAGGCTGATTCTTTTGGAGATCCTAATGTATTGCAATTGAATAATTCAACCCACATTCTTCCAATTGAGGGTGAAGTGACATCAGAATTGGGGCAATTGAGGCCAAGATCCTATGCTAAGGTATTAAATGGGTCTCATGTAAATGAATTGGACTTGGATTCTTCTTCACTGGACTTAAATTATATCAAACCCCTTTGTGATAATGGCCGAGTGAAGGTGATTGCCCCTACAGAAATGGCTGCCTCGGGTTGTGAAATGTGGAGGACGTGGGGTATTTGGCCACTCTTGCTCTTTTCAACCTAAGCCTGGTGAGAGTAAAAAACTTGCCAAGGTTTGGGTTGCTAAGGATGAGGCTGGCCAAAGTGGTGTAGCTAATGAGAAACCACCTATCGATGATGAGTGGACCTATATCTCTCAAAAGAGGAAGGTTACAGCTAAGGTTGATTCTGGTGTTGCTGTTCCTATTCAAGAAGGTGGCTTTCATACTTTGGCAAATAATTCTAAGGAGGTCCAAGGAGAGGTTGATCAACAACCTCACAAATTGATATTGATAAGCAGCTGGTGGTTTTCAAGAGTGCTCATGGAGAGATTGATAAATCATCTTTAGCTAATAACCCTGATAAGCAGCTAGTGGTCTCAAATTTCGATGTATCTCCTATGTTAGAATTACAAATGGCGCCTAATGGGACTACTGAAGTAGGGAAAAAAGTGGAAGAGTCTCCAATTCCAGTTGCCATTCTAAATGAAGATAACATCGATACTTCTACCCCTCTCTCTAACACGTTGGGAACAAAAGCTATAGATTCACTTCGAAAAAAGAAGAATGGGTCGGGGGTAAGCATAAGAAGGGTAAGAAGTATCACCCTCCTAGGGAAGGGAGATGGCGTTAGGCATATTGAGGTTGTGATTCTCTCCTTGACTTTAATTATGCATTTTGGATGCTAGAATGTCAGAGTGTTAAATGACCCCCTTAAACAAGCTGAAGTAAAGTACCTCATTTCTTCCAGTAGGCTTTCTATGTGTGGGTTGGTGGAAAAGTTAAGGAGAAGAATCAAAATAAGGTAACGAATGCCATCTTCAAGTCTTGGAGTATCCTTACTAATTCTAATTGTTCTCTACTCGGTAGAAACTGGGTATGTTGGAATCCAAATGATGTAGATATTTTGCTGGTGGGTTGTTCATCTCAAGCTATCCATGTTCGTGTTAATGCATGTAATGGTAAATGGAGTTGTGTGGTGTCAGTGGTATATGGGGTTAATATCCCAGTTAAGCGTGTTGATCTGTGGGCTAATTTAGTAGCTAGGCATGGAGGGTTTGCATACTTGCCATGGGTGGTCATGGGGGACTTCAATTCGGTTTTATCTTCTTCTGAAGTGGAAGGTGGTTCTTCTTCTGGCTTGCATGGCAAGACGATCTTGGGAATTGCTTAGCAACAGTGGGTTTGGATAATTTGAAGTTTGATGGCTGTTTATATACATGGTCTAATAAGCATGTATCTGATCCTATTCTCAAGAAACTAGATCGTGTATTGGTGAATTCGAAGTGGGAGAACGAGTTTCAGGGATCCAAAGCTACTTTTCTTAGTGCTGGGGTGTCGAATCATTCGCCTATGGTAGTGAAACTTGCAGGGCCACCACGTAGGAAGATTCCATTCTGTTTCTTTGATTATTGGATGGATCGCCCAAATTTCTTCCCTTTGGTAGCTCAAATTTGGGATGAAGCGGTCGCAGGAACTCCTATGTTTTGTCTGTCTTCGAAGTTGAAGCTTGCCTTGAAAGAGTTCAGTAAGGAGCATTTTTTAAATCTACCTACAAGAGTCGCTCATGCTCGGACTGATTTAGAACATGTTCAGTGTTTGATTCAGCATTCGCCTTTGGATTCATCTTTACATAGGGAGGAGGCTCGGTTACGAAAAGGAATTTTGTGAGTTGAGTAGGGCTGAGGAGAGCTTTTTGGGACAAAAAGCTCGTGTTAAGTGGCTGAATTTAGGGGATCAGAATTTTGCTTTCTTCTTCAAGGCTATGGAAAGTCACTATGGCAAGAATAATGTGGTTTCAATTTGTAGAGATGATGGTACTAGAGTGGAGGAGCCGCATGAGGTTAGTAAAGTTATTGTTGAATTCTATCAAAATTTCCTTGGACAACAGCCTAGTGGTGGGAGTCTGGATATGGACTTACTTCGAAAAGCTCTTCCTAAGAGTATCTCAGCGGGGCAGAATGAAACCCTTGATAGAGATGTGACATTTGAGGAGATTAAAGAGGTTTTGTTCTCTTTGAAAGACAACAAGGCTCCGGGGCCAGATGGTTTTAATGCAAGTTTCTTCAGGAGGACTTGGAATATTGTGGGGAATGACGTTCTATGTGCCATCAAGTCTTTCTTTGACTCGGGGATACTATTGAAGCAAGTTAATGCTGCTACCATCGCATTGGTTTCTAAGGTTCCTAATCCTTCTCAGGTAAAGGACTTTAGGCCTATCTCTTGTTGTAATACTAATTGCCAATAGAGTCAAGTTGGTACTTCCAGACATTGTTGGATCTCAACAAACTGCTTTTGTTAAAGGGAGACATATTAGTGATAATATCCTTCTTTCCCAAGAGCTTTTACGGAATTATCACCGTTGTGGAGGTTTGCCTAGGTGTTCTCTTAAAGTTGATCTCATGAAAGCCTATGATTCTGTTCGTTGGGATTTTCACTTTGCAGTTTTAAGGGTGCTTGGTTTCCCGGAGAGGGTTGTTTTGTGGATTACTGAGTGTGTCACTACCACTCGGTTTTCGATTTCCATTAATGGCGAGTTGCATGGTTTCTTTGCTAGTGGGAGAGGCTTGAGACGGGGAGATCCTTTGTCGCCCTATTTGTTTGTCTTGGCAATGGAGGTATTTTCAGGGTTAATGGGGTTGATGGTTGTAGAACAGGATTTTAAGTACCACCGGAGGTGTGAAAATGAGAAGATCACCCACTTGTGTTTTGCTGATGACCTTATGATCTTTTGTAGAGCTGAGGTTGGTGCTATTTCTCTCATTGGGGACTGCCTTAATCGATTCAAAGCTTTTTTAGGTCTTATTCCTAATCCAGATAAGAGTAATCTATTTGCTAGTGATGTTTCTTCATATCTTAAGGAACAGTTGCTTGATGTTTTGGGGTATAAGGAGGGAGTTCTACCGATAAGCTATCTTGGTGTTCCACTTATCTCTATCAAATTGCGGGCTTTGGACTGTAAGATGTTGGTGGATCGTATTATAGCTCGGGCTAAGAGTTGGACTTGAAGTGCACTCTTCTATGCAGGTAGGTTACAACTTATTAAGTCCGGGTTATTTTCTATTCAGGTATATTGGTCTTCTGTATTTATTTTACCTAAGGCTGTGATTAAGCAAGTGGAAGCTACTCTATGTGCTTTCTTGTGGAAGGGTTGTGACCTTGGCACCGACGGGACTAAAGTAGCGTGGGGGAAATTTTGTATGCCTAAGAAAGAGGGTAGTTTGGGTCTGGAGAGCATAGAGATTTGGAATACGGTTTCCATATTAAAGCACCTTTGGTCCCTTTGTACCGATTCTGCCTCCTCTCTTTCGGTTTTGTGGGCACAAAGTTCTTACTTAAAGGTCGAAGCATTTGGGAATTGAAGTGTCCTGGGGACTGCTCTTGGAATTGGAGGAAGATTCTTGCACTTCGGGATATAGGGAGGGACAAAATGAAATTCAGAATTGGTAATGGTAGACGTGCTTCTCTTTGGTTTGATAATTAGCATCCTCTTGGCCCTTTAGAGAAGATTCTTGGTGAGATGATCATTCATGAATCTAGATTGAGTAGACTAGCTAAGGTGGCTGATATTGTTGAGGGTGATACCTGGAGGTGGCCATTAGCTCGTTCCCCAACGTTATCTGACTTGATGCGAGATACGCTTGATACTTTTCAGCCGTATAGTACTAGAGAGGATGTCTTGCTATGGGTGGATGATGCACATGGAGTCTTCTCTGTTCGGAGTGCTTGGGAGTCTATTCGACTTCGCTGCCCTAGGGTGACTTGGTATCACATTATATGGTTCCCTCAGTGTATTCCCCGTCGTGCATTTATCCTTTAGCTAGCATTTTAAGGTGGCCTTTATAGACAGACAAACCTTTTTCGCTTTGGTTTGGTACAGTCTATATGTTGTGTGCTGTGTGGTTGTTCGGATGAGGATTTGGATCATCTTTTCTTTGCTTGCCAATTTTCTGAACGTGTTTAGCATGCTTTGCATGCAAAATCTAACCTGCCTTGGATTCAACGGAGTTGGTCAGATACTCTTTCTTGAATGAAAGAGTTGCGTGGGAGGTCAATATGGTCCATTGTTATTCGTTTGATGTTTGAGGCTTCGATTTATGCTATTTGGCATGAGCGTAATACTAGGACCCATGTTTTGACTCCTAAACATGAATCTGTTGCTATTCGAGACATTGTTTTTTTCTGTTTGTACACGAGTGGATTTATGTAGGGGCTTGGTCCCATCTAGTGATAGTATATGGTTCCAAGCTCATGGGGTTTTTCTGCGAATATTTTATATTGTCTTGACTAAGTTATAAGCACTAGTCTAGGTTTCTGTTATTGGTGTTAAGAAGACATTTATTCCTAACCTTGTTTTTCTGGGGTATACCCCTGTGATCTTGTACTTTATTTTTACATTTTGGATATAATATACTTACCTTATTCAAAAAAAAGGTTAAGCTTATAATATAAAACTCAAAACACATTTTTTTTTACGCTTTGTGTGTTTTTGGTGAAAATTTTGAAAACACTTAAAATATGGAAAACAAACGTTCAAATAAAAATCTTAAAAATTAAAATTTTTGAAAAAAGAAATTCTCAAATTCTAAAAACTTTAAAATAAAAATTCTGAAAAAATAAAATTATAAGAATTTCTAGAAAAATAAATATTTTAAAATAAAAATAGTTCAAGTTTATAATGATTATTTCTAAAAAATCTAAAAATATTTAAATGAACATATATAAAAATATTTCCAGTCTAAGTCATTAATTTTATTTTTAATTCCTATATTTTGAACTCAATTTATTATTAATATTTTTACTTTTATAGTGAGAAAAAAAATTGTATAATACACCAACTTTAAAATGTATATATTACTTTATAATATATCAACAAAAAATAGTTTACTTTTACTGAATAACCATATTTCATGGAATGAAATGTCATAAAATAATTTTTCAAAATTTCAAATCAAACTAATTTTTCAAAATAATAAATCAAATGTGTTTTTAACATTCTTAAAATAGATCCTCATAATAGAAAACTAAAAATTAATTCAAAACTGAAAATTGAAATACAAACCAAACGGACCTTTAATTTTTAGATAACATGTCTCAAATAAGGGTTAAATTGCAATGAAAATTTAGTAAGTCAAATGCATTTATCCTGAGAGAACAATACATATCTAAGATAGTTACAAGATACAATTTCAAAACTAAGAAACTTGTTTTAACATTTCAAAAATTAGGTCATAATTCAAATTATTAATCAAATAGGCAATTAAATATATTAAAGTCACAATATTATATAATTTATGATCACAGTTACGTACCTGTCACATTCACAGAACGCCACTATCACGAATCACAAATGTTATACGTCACAACTAATTTTTTGATCACAAATTATCAAATTAATTGGTCAGGCTTTATTTTTTAAGTCACAAATCATAAATTTTATAGATCATTATTTATTTATCAATTACAAATTATCAAATTAATAGGTCACACTTTATTTCTCTATCATAAATTTTATATGTCACAACTTATTTCATGATCACAAATTATCAAATTAATTGACCACATGTTATTTCTCGGTCACAAATTATCAAATTAATCATCACAATTATAAATTTAGTCATAATCTCATATTTTTTTAGGTCACATATTATTTATTGTTCACACATTATCTATTTTATCGATCACATATTATTTATTGATCATAAATTAACAATTTTATTTGTCACATTCACTCAAATAATTAGTCACAAACACTCTTCACTCCCCAACCTCCCTTCACCACCACCACCACTTCAAAACCATCGTCACCCCACCATCTCACAATCATCATTAGCACCACCATCGCTAGCATCATTACCACCTGCACCACCAGCAACTTCAAATACTACCACCATTTGCAAACCAGCCCAAAAACTCCAGCAAGCACGCACAATTTATTAAAAATAATTCGAAAATAAACTGCATGGCGTTACTCTCACCACCAAAGGATGAGAAGGGCCAACCGACGTCAAAGAAGAGAATGAAGATGCAAATGAGCACTGTTCGTGTGTGAGGGATGGTAGATATGGTAAATTAGGAGAGACTCTAAGGATTTGGGTGGACATGATTGTTAGTTTATGAGTTGTTATATATTTTTTTAAATAAAAACAATAATTATAATACAATCTTAAAAAAATATAGTTATCGTGTAATGTTCGCTTTTTCTAAAGTGGGAATTATATTAGAGCGGGGTTTTAAAGATTGTAGTTCAAAAATCAGATATAAGGTTTAATTATCCATAAATAAGATGATAATTCAACTATTTTAATATTAATATTATAAAATCTACCCACCCCAACCCTACCCTACCCTACCCTACCCTAAAATCATTTCTCTATCTTCTCTCTTCTCACTCTCTCTACCTAACCCACACTTTATTAATTTGGCATTGCTGCAACCTCTGTCGAAGACCACCCAGAGCTCACAGTGGCGCTCATATCTCTATCCTCTCTCACACACTCATGGATAGTGTGGAGATACCACCGAGCTCACAACGATGAGCGCCGTTGTGCAGTGGCACTCTGAGTGAAGAGGATAAGGCCATTCCGTGGCTCTATCGCGATCCTTAAGGACGATGACTTTTACGACTTTGCCGAATGTAGAGAACGATAGTATGCGGAGTGCAATAGAAACATCGACGCTGCTGCATCCTACTATGAACAGTATGTGAATCTACTACAGCTAGAGCACCTGTACTGCTGGGCAGAGGTCCTGCGGCCCTCTTCGAAAAATCTCACCGTGGTACCCATATTGCAATGGCCCATTTCCTCTTGCAGCGGTGTCGAAATAGAGAGTGTGGGATGGGTAGACAGAAGATAGAGACAAAGAGAGGGGGAGAATAAGTAGGAAAATGAATTAGGGTTTTCAAATGGTGGTTGTTAGTGGTGGTGGTGGTGATTGTGGTGCGATAGTGGTGGTTGTGGTTGTAGTTTTCAAATTGTGGTGCCGATGAGGTTGTGGTGACTTATAATTTGTTTACGTGTCACATGTTACTGTACACAGGTTACAGATCAATGTCCACAAGTCACAGATCAATATCTATATATCACATATTAATTAAAATTGGTCACAAATCACTGATTTATGTTCATATGTCATATTGTTTAAGTCACATATTAATGTCAACGGGTCACTGATCAATGTTAATAGGTCACTGATCAATGTCCACAAGAGCTTGTTTAAATTCCTTAGGTCGACTCCTATTACTTTTAAGCTCTTCATAGTGGCTTGAAACGGAATTTTCAGTCCTGTATTTTAGACATTGGTTGCATTTATTCAGTTTATTCTTGACTCTCCAAACAATCATGTTTTCATTGTTGTCCCTACCAATAATTCTGTATGCGTCTGGCCTACCTTTATAGCTCTCCCGGTGATCCACTCATTGGAAATCCTCAAAGTAGAAGGGTTGCTTGATTGGATTTTCTATGGTGAAGCTCTACTGTTTATCTTCCACCCTTATAACTATCTCATTAGTATCAAAATCCAGTAAGGTTCAGCTTGTAGACAAGAATGACCTTCCAAGATTATTGGCATCTGATATACTTCTTCTATGCCCAGAATAATGAAGTCATCTAGAAAAATAAACTCCCTCGCATTGATGAACATGTGTTTGACTATTCTATAGGAGTGTTTCAGCGATCTGTCCTGGAACTGAAGGATAAACGAGGCAGCCTTAGGATTTGTCAATCCCAATTTCCTGTAAACATGCAAAACAATTAAATTTATGTTTGCTGCTGAGACAATCAAAAAATTTATATTTTGTAAATTTTCTATGGAGTAAGGTAAAGTAAAACTCTCTGAATCTTTTAGTTTGGGAGAATCATGTGCTGGATGATCGCGCTATATTCTTCAAATAGTGCTATCGTTTCGTGCTCAGGCAGCTTCCTCTTTTTGGTCAACATCTCTTTAAAAAACTTGAAGTAGTTTGAGATTTGAAGGATCACGTCAATGAATGGGATGTTGACATGCAACTTTTTGAGGACTTCCAGAAATTTATTAAATTGCCTCTCCAGTTTGGTATTTTGTAGCCTTTGAAGAGAAGGGGTTAGAGATGTGAGTGATGTGCCAGGAACTGTTACCTTAAAGTTGTGGGTTGTTTGAGACTAATTGTTGATCCTCATCTGTTACTTCTTCGGACTACTCTACTTGTTCCTTGCCCTTAGTAGATATTTGAGTATTCTTTGTCTCTTTCTTCTTTGTAGTGATTTCTGGCAATTGAACACCACTCCTAGTAGTGATGGCCAAAACCTGCTGCACTATTGGCTGCCTTCGCAGTCTCCGAGAGAATGGAATATGTGGCACATAAGCCTTGATCGTAGCGACATGAGTGAATGATGGTGGCTATTTGATCTCAGAATTCACCGAATCAATTACTAGTACCTGCTCCCGTGAATTCTTCTCTATGTCGTTAGGAAAGGTACCCTGTAGTTTGTTGACTTATACAACTGCTATTTGTCCCACCTGATTCTCTAAGTTATGTATAGAGGCTTGTTGATTCTACATTGTTGTCTCAGTCTTGGTGATGTGCTTGACAAATAGATTCTCCAAGGATATCATATTTTCTTGTTGTTGCTGAATCGCTGTGGATTATCCCTCATCTGATTTACTTGATCTGAATTATCCACCCACTCATAATTGGAATGCTTCTTCAAATCCAAATGGAAGTTGTATAGGTATGGTCCATTTTGCCTCTGATAATTCTGTGCATAACTGACCCGTGTGAGTGGAAGCCAAATGACAGCTTGTAGTGATGTGATCTGCCCCACAACCTGCACAATCTGG